ATAATAGAATTATTATTTTTTTATGTAGAATATTTTATAAATTATAATTCAAAGCATAATAATTTGTTAAAATATATATGTGCTATTATATTAATAGAACCTTTATGTACAAAAAAAGAGGATGTAACATTTAAAGGTACATAAATTAATGATATAAAAAGAACAGTTTATATTTCATCATGAAAAATATAATTGCCTCTTATTATATCTAACATAGATACTAATGATCGGTTAAACATAAATAATTATATCCATTTGGTAATAATATAATTTTGTTGATTTTATATTAATATAAAAATATTCCACTTTGTTTGTATTAATACAGAGTAAGAAATATATTAAAACGTAATATAATATATTTTGCAGGTAGTATATAATATAGTTAATAATAAATGTAAATTAATATACTATATATTCTAAAGAAAAATGACACAATATTTTTTATTGTATAAATATACACAACCCCCAATTCGTTGATCTACGCATGCATAAATTCATCATTAAAATATAAATATAATGAAAACTGAAATTTTACGTCATTTCAAACCTATTATATTTATATATGATCAATTATTAAACAGTATTATTTAATATTATATGTTTATATCCATTATGACTTTGTCCAGTAAATAACATAAGATGCCTTTTTGTAAAGTAACACATTTACTTTTTATGGGATAAAATTATATATATAAAATAAAAATTTCTGCGTTAAGTAAAAATTTTTTCTCTTATATAATTTATTTATTTTTGTAATTATAGATTTCGACCGTTTATTATTTATATGTGTATAATTTAATCTTAATTTTTATATCTTTTATTCTTATTGTATATGTAAATATTCATGGGATACAGTGATTCAACAATATAGTATTTTATTTATTATACAAATTTTCACTTCTATCAACAGAATTATTTTTTAGAAAATATATTTTCTCCTTTCTCATATATATTATTACTAAACTGTCCAATTATCTATCTGATTATGAATGAAATTAGTCCGAGTGGTATCCAATATAATGTTCATCCTTAAAGTTGTAATACGGATTATGTGATTCTTGCGCATAATCATATACATCATTAAACTCAGAATTTATATTGCTTCTATAATATTTTTTATTAGCAAATCTTTTATTAATCCAAATTCCTAAGGGTGTGAACTTTTAAATAAATGAATATTAAATAAAATACTTTTAATTGTTATTGATATCTATATAAATAGCGTAAGTTATAAACAAATATATAGAAATTACTTAAATTAATGATCTTCTTATTTACTTTATGTAAAGAGGCACAAATCATCGATATGGCAGCTACTCCTAGAATTACACCTCCTGTCATTCTTAATGTGATAATTCTATTAATTTTTGTGTTTAAAGTCTTAAAAGATTGTTTTCCATCTATGGAAAATCTAGTAAATTGCGTATCATTTTCAGGTGTGACTCCTTGTGATACACCGTCGTGTAATTCTCTGTCTGTCTGTTCTTCTCGTAAACTCTTTTTCTCTATTTCATTATCACATTTAAAATCAATTAAAAGCTTATTTGGATGACAATCTTTATATTTAGTTTTAAATTCCTTGCAGAAATTTGTTGGATCTGATGTACAAGTTCTACCAAAATGATTATATAATGAAACTTTGTTTTTAAAGTATGTACAGTAATCCTTATCTTTTTCATTGTATATATACATCCTTTTAAGGTAATCGTAATCAACATAGTAATCATACAATTCCTTCCTCAGTCTCCAATCCTTAAGAACAATGTCACTTATAACTGGATTACATGTTTCATATGAATTTTTCTTTAATACTTCATGAACAAATGTATTCCATATGGTTGTAATTTTTACAAAATTATCTTTTACATAATCTTCATCACTATACCCCACAGAGGCACTTAATCTAGAGGCTACCCAATAATTTAAAAGTAAGCACACATCATAAGTATAGTAATTATTTCTTAAATTTTCCCTAGTACCTAAATATTTTAAAACTTTTGCACATATGCTTTGAGCATTCCTACTTTTCCGATGTGTAAAGGATTTACAATGAACATAATACTCACTAAAATTTTCAATATCATCTAATTCGTTATAGAATCTTTCTGAAGGTAAAGAATTCCCTAATGATACAGCTAGTTGCTAAATATAATGAACGCAGAAAAGAAAAATTATATATATACGTTGAAGAAAATTAATTAAAATATTTAAAAAACTAAAGGTACTTTTAATAAATTCAATAAAGAAAAATATTATAATTCATAAACATTACATCGAATACTTCCCATGATTTGTCTGTAAACAGCATTATTTGAAATATATAAAATTATTATTTTTTAAAAACATTTAATATCTACCAAAAAAAAAAACTCCGGAATAAGGAAAAAATGCTTTTACTACCTAATATATTTAAAGATTCTTTATATGTAAAAATTTATTGATTATTATTATTATCCCAATAAATAAATATGCTACGTGTAATTTTTACATAAACAAATTAAAAAAATTCTTGTATCCATAATATTAAGAGCGAAAATTAACATAACTTTCATTGTAATAAAATCAATATTAAAGTATATAATACTGTGTTTCTGGTTGAATATGCGAATAAAATATTTTTATAAACTACAAGAAAGGACAAAATTTATTTAATGTTAATTTATATATATTAATATTAAATTTTTAATATATAATATAAGAAAAAAATAAATAAAAATATATATTCAAGGGAAATGAAGAAAATATGTAGTTACATAAATAATGTTTATATTACCTTATAAAAGAAAAAAAATTGGTGAAATGATTATTATGTATTTTTACTAGGAATTTACGTGCTCAAGTAAATATATATATAGAGGAATTAATTCATATATTCTAACCAACTTATTAGTGATAAAATTTGATCATAATTATATCAATAAATATATATAATACATCAAGAATACAACTAAATATTGTAAAAAAGGCATAGAAAATTAAAATACTTATTGCAGGATGTAATATATTTAACACCTACAAACATCATCTGCCTACTTTTCATGTTAAAGTCTTAGGATAATGAAAAATCTAAATATCAAAGCGAATTATCATTAATATAATTATTGACACATGAATTACTATACATTACAACATTTTAAATGTTTTTTATTATAACATTTAAATTTTAAACATTTTTTACGCATTATTAAATGTCAGTTTTCCAGTTCTTACGACTTATTTATCCAACGCAGGTATAATATATAATATATTATTTTTTTTACCTTGTAGTTTTATTGATAATAGATTTATATAATGCACTGTTTTTATTTATATGAATTATATATACATCCTACGCTTGATTCATGGGAAAGAACTAATATTATATCAGCATTAATAAGATTATATTGTGAAATTTATCTAGACATAATATACATATATACATGTTATATAAAGTAATGCTGTTTCACAAATGCTTATTTTACGATAATTGTGATAATATTATTATAATAAGAATAAGAAGATAATATTAAAACAAATATAGAATGGAATATCTTTTATATATATTTATAATATTTTATAAATTATTATTCCTATAGCATACATTTAATATAAGAATAAAAGCATATATCATATATCTATGAATACAATTATTTTTTTCATTTAATTATGGGAAAAACATGAATATTCTTCTTATTTTTAGTTTATACTTTTACATTCTAAAACATGTATTAAAATAATAGACTATTTGATATTCATTAAAATATGCATATTTATTGGGTAAAAAATATTATTATCATTTAATACAAACTAAATCCTTGTTTATAAAGTTTTTTATATGAATCCAATTGGATATTAGTAGGGGTATTAAACGAAATATATAGAAAAATATATATAATTTTTGCTATAAAAAATCACTAAATATAAAAATATATAAAGATGTAGACAACATATTGTTATATATATAATAATATTTTAATTGTTAATACAAGTGAATAATATCTTATAATTGTAATGATTATAAATTCATATTTAAATATAAACTAAAAAATATTAACTTCGCATTATTTATAATATAAATTCGCTGTATATTTTTTGCATAAATTGTGTGCGAAGCAGAACAATTTTTATTGTTTATACATTCAGACTATTTTTATTATATCTCAGAAATTTTACTATTGTTAACTAGCGCGCATATAATTTTTATATTCAATAGCACTTATATAATAAAAAAGGTTTATATTTCGGAAAAGATAATATATATTTTTTTCATTCTAAAATATGCAATAAGAGTAATATATATTTGCATGTGTTTAATATAAATATGCTGTTGTCAATATTTTTTCATCTAAATGTATTCATTTTTATAACATATATAAAACCTGAATCATTCAGTATACTCAGTATAATATAAATATATTACTAGTTGCGCTTTATTTTACTCATTTATACTATAATCTCAGATTCTAATTTTTTTTTTATATGCCTTTGGTATTATTATATATACGCAAAACGTACATATATATAATCATAAAATTCCAAATATTAATATATTAATATATATTTTTTTTAATATTTAAGCTTCAAAGTTTTATTATATTTACATTTTTAAAATAACTATACGTAAAATTATTTTTTTGCATTTTATAATAATATTGATCATAATGAGCTAATTTTTTGAAAATATTATGAGAAAAGAAAAACATGTTAAACGACGTCACAGATATATTCCCCATTATAGGTAACTTACATTAGTTTATTATAAGTTATGCGATGATACTTATAATTCATTTTTTTCATGAAATTGTTTAAATATCACATTTTTACCTTAGTTTTATTTGTTTAAATTAGATTTATTCGAAGAAAATATAATACAAAGAGAAAAAACAAAATGATATAATTATTTTATAATTAATTTTTTTTATTAATTATATTTTACTAATAGTATCACAGAATATACACATTTACAATGGTAATTTTTTATATACCTTGATTAATAGTGAAGAAAAAAAAGGAATTTTCAGTCGTTAAATATGAATACGAAACAATATAGAATTGTAATAACAATGATTATGAAATTTCGAAAAGGAAAATCTCTTCAATCTCTATAAAATCTACATAATACATCTTAATTTAATCCCAATCTACATCTCATTAGGTAGTATTTACATATCCTAATATTTTTTTTCTTTATAAAATATGCATATAATGCATCAGTTTTAATTGATCCAATTTACCTTTTGTTTTAGATAAAGGATATTCTTGATCATTATTACACAATATTGGATTATACAAGAATTGAATGCTCATGTCTTAGTATTTAACGAAAATTGATGACTACTTTAAAAAAAAATATATATTATGATTTTGGTTACACATATATTCTCTCAGTTATATAATGTGTTTTATAGTTAGGGCTTATTTTACTGAATTTCTGTTATATAATTTAGGATTAGTGGTAGATTTTTGTATATAATTTTGCTGAAGGTTTTTTATTTAAGATTTAATATACGGATGTCATGGTTTATGTCTATATTTTTGTTCTGAGCTCAGGTATAGGGTTAGGCTTCTGGTTTCATTGTTGATTGTATAGTGTTTTTAATGTTTATTTCTTTTACAACTATTATTATATATACTTATGATTTATTTATTAAAAATATGCATTTACCTATATTTTGTTCACAAATTCATAAATATTTTTATACAGAATCCATTTATTGTGAAATATAGGAGAATAATATACAATATAATGTAAAATGTTTACATAGTTATTAATATTTTCTGTTATATTAAATATTACATTTTGCATAACCTTGTATTTTATAAGATGTTTTAACTATAACCTTTAATGCTAGAACATATCTACTATAATAAAAATATTTATTATAATATAATACTTAATTTATGTTAATTATTTCATAACTTCAAATATTATTAAAAGATACATATATTATATGCTATTTAATATTTTATATTCAATAATATACCTGATATTATAATTTTACTTATATTTTTTTTTATAAAAACTACTGTACCATTCATAAGAGCTTAATTATAAAAAAGAATTAGTCTATTCTTTATTTTAAATAAACACATTTTTAAAATGAGGAATAATGTACTATAATAAAATAAATCTATATATTTTTCTTAACGTGAAAATTTTTATCATGTATAAATTTTTTATTATAAAATCAAATAACGCATAATAAATTCTATTTTATTTATAAATATATACTTTTTAATTTATAAAAAACATTGTGTTGTATTGGAATAATTATTTACACTTATAACGATAGTTTATATATAACATATTCAAATTTTTGTATATATTTTTATATTTTAAAATAGTATGAAATATATGTTAAATTTTACTACACTATAGTGTTTCTATTTTATAGATTCCTATATAAATAGATGTATAACCCATATAATGTAGTAAGTACTATGATAATATAAAAATAAAATTGTGTTTAACATTATTGATTCTATATTTTTATACCTTATTATGAATAAATGATGTAATTTTTTATTTTTTCATATGATTATTCTTTTATTGTTATTTTTATATCATTGATAATGCGTATAAAATATTCCACTAAATAAGAACTTATGTATAAATATATAGAGAAATACATCGGGGGAATATACATATGTATATATAATAAATTATAGCGTATAAGTTAATCCTATTTTATAAGAACAAATTATATTAATACTAATTTTCTTTAACATTTTACACTAGAATATTTTTCGTTGATGTCTTCATAAATATATATAATTTTTATAACCTTATGCATGTAGTGTATTATGAAAAGTACAGTTGTATACAACGAATATATCATTTTTTGTCTATTGTATTCATAATTTATAATAGTATAAAATATTTAACTCAATATAAATACCATAACTGTATGGCTTTAATTGTTGTATCTTTGTATTATGAATTTTTTTCTTCTTAGTAATTTTGTTTAAATTTATTAATATAATTAAATTACGAATTCATGTTTTACAATCTCTCTTGCATCTAATTCAACAAAAAAAATAATAATAATAATATTTTCTTTAATTATGTGTAGATAATCATATGATTATGTAATATGTGTACTTTTTATTATTTTCTCAAGCAGTGTTTAGGTATTTAAATTAATATTTCATAAAAACATATATAAATTTTTTTAAAAAAAGAATTATAGGATAAAACACGTATATATACATAATCTATTAAAACAATTTTAAATTATTACTCATGATAAAGTTATAAAAGTTATTTCTTATTTATAATGAATATATATATATATTTGTTGTGCATTATCTTTATTCTAGGTATACCAT